TCCAACTCAAAAAAAAAAAAAAATGTGAACACATATTGGCCAGGCATGGTGGCTTACCCCCAAACCAGCACTTTGGGAGGATGAGGCAGGAGGATGGCTTAAGCCCAGGAACTCGAGACCAGCCTAGGCAACATAGCAAGCCTGTCTCCAAAAAAATGAAAACATTACTACAGGCATGGTGGTGTACACCTGTAGTCCCAGCTACTTGGAAGGGTGAGGCAGCAGGATCGCTTGAACCCAGAAGGTCAAGGCTGCAGTGAACTATGTTCATGCTTCTGCAATCTAGCCTGGATGACAAATGAGACCCTATCTCAAAAAAAAAAAAAGTATCACATGTCTGTCACATGTCCACACCTACACCAAACACTAGCCAGGAAGAATCAAATGACCGTGATTGGTTTAGACTCAAACTTTAACTCAAGAGTCAGTGCTTGAGACTAGGATCCATTCCCAACCTCACAGACCTCCATGTGCTACCCCAAAGGTAGGGAATCACTACCTTTAAGTCCTGAGGAGGGCTGGGTAGGAAAACACTTCCCAGCTGATGGAAAGGGAGGGTTGGGCCACATGACTTAGGCTGACCAATAGTTGTGTCCCAGCCCCTTGGGGTGCAGGTTTCCAGATGGCCATGTGACCCAAGCTAGGCCAGTGGGAATTGACCCTGGTCAGCCGGTCAGGTGAGAGGCACCCACTGTCTCTGAACGTTAGCCTGCAGGTACTGGAGCAGTTCAAGGGGCAGCCAGGAAGCCCCTTGATGTCCTTGCCAGGTTGAGCTGAGTCTGTTACAAGCAAGAGTCTCCATGGATACACAGTTGCTCCGACTTCATGATGCAGCCAGGTTGTCAAGCACTCCCTCCTCCCAGGAATCATTGGAGAGGATTTCCTAGACCTTGAAGTCCCATCCCTCACTTTACAAATGAGCAAACTGAAGCTGAGCAGGAAGGAGCTTGTGCAAGCTTCAAATAGACGGGCAAATCAGTGACAGGCCTAAAGCAGTCACTGCACCTCCCCAGCTTCTCAGCCTTTCTGGGTTGCCCCTGAGCTAGCTCACAGCTGAATGCCTACTTTGCAGGAAGTACACTGGGGATGCAGCAATGAGACACATGGCCCTCGCCTGGAGGAGCTTGGGGCCAGCAGGACAGACCTTCACCAGCAGTATCCCAGGTGCGATGGATGCCTCAGAGCACCTCACCTGAGCAATCTCAGCGGAACCTCATTCTCTACCTTCCTGACTCCTGAGCAGGGCTGCAGCCTCCCAGAGGCAGCCAACACAAGTTCAAATCCCACAGGTGACCATACTGTCCAGCTCTGCATTCCTGGGTAAGTCAGCATCACATTTCTGATCCTGTTTCCTAACTTGTAAAATGGAATGGGTAATACAAACTTGCTGGGTTTTCCAAAGGACTGGAACAAATTGGTGTATAAATTCAGTGGTGGCCAGGTGCAGTGCCTCAGCACTTTGGGAGGCAGAGGTGGGAAGACTGCTAGAGTCCAGGAGTTGGAGACTAGCTCGGGCAACATAGTGATACTTCATCTCGGAAAAAAAGCAACAAAAAAACCCAATGACATATAAAGTGCTGTTGAGTCAGGGTGTTATTGCACAGAGCACAACCCTGGGACCGGGATGGGTCAGTTCAACGGAGAGGAGGGAGGCGGACCAGCTCCCAGAAGCACAGGTTCAGGCAGGGGCTCCTCCCTCCCCAACCACAGACTCCAACACACAAACACTCCCACTCGCACTTTATTAAGTACGGGAGGACTGGTCACAACAGGGGTGGAGGTGGGGGAAAGGCCTTGCCCCCACCCCCACTGTCACTGGCACACAAATAAATTAAATAGCTGGGAGTGGGTATGGGGGAGAGGTGGCACGGCCAACACTGACCACAAGGGGGACGCAAAAGCCCCCCTTCCAAGATGTGGCCAGCATCAACACTGGACAGGTACCAAGACCAGGAAAGGGTGGGCTCTTGGCCACAGAAGCCCCAGAGCCCTGAGTAACCCACTGGGTTACAATCTTCATGGAGGAGAGGTGTCTTCAGAAGGGGCCACTGTCTCTCAGACGTCTGGATTGTTCTATTCAGGATCTAAGAAACCAATGGGTTTATATCTTGGTGTCCTGATGGACCCAGGACATGCAAAGGTCATTGTCAGTTAGTCTTAGGATTGGTCCACTCAGGCTCCAGGGCATGAAAGGGCCAATGTCACTCAAGTCCCTAACTGGTCCTCTCAGGACCCAAGACCAGTGAGTCAGTATCACGTAGCCTTAGAATTGGTCCACTCAGGACAGTAGGAGGCTGTGGTTATGTGACCTCTGACTGGTCAACAGGAACCCAAGGGCCAGGCCCTGAGGGGCAGGCAGAGCTCTAGAAGCCCTAGGGAGACAGGAGAGGACTCAGTGTCCAGGGTTGGGGGAAACCTCCAGTTGGCATCAGGGCCCAGATTTCAGGGAGGGGAGGTGACAGGGCAGGAAATAAGGCCACCTGGCTAGGTCAGGCCAAGATGAACCCATGGGAGACCAGCTTCTGGGACAGCAGAGTGCCCAGACACTGCTGGGAAGGGGTGAAGGGGCCCTCAAACGTTCCCTTGGTCCCAGCCCCACCAGGGAGCCAAAACTGGGGCCAGGGAGCCAGTGGCACTTAACATGGCTCGTGACCCATCACGGAGGCAGGATCGGGGCGAGGGGAAGGGGCAGGCCTGCATCTGCAGGCCGAGCGGGCTCAGTCCTCCAACCCTTCCATCAAGTCCGCGATGCTCTCCACATAGTAATGGGGCACAAGGTCGTGCTGGCCAGCTGCCAGGTAGGCCTGGGCCTCTTCTAGGCGGGAGACGCCTGTGAGCGTGAGCACGGTGGTCATGCCGCAGCGATGGCCGAAGAGGATGTCGGTCTCCAGGCGATCACCCACCATGAGCGTGCGGGCGGGGTCCACAGAGAAGTGCTCCGTGATGCACTCGAACATGTAGGGGCTGGGCTTGCCCACCACCAGGGCCTGGCGTCCCGAAGCCGTCTCCACTGCAGCAGTCAAGCTCCCAGTGCCTGTGGGGAGACGAGACTCAGTCAGCAGGGTAGTGTTGGGGGCGGCAGCTGGCCCCGACACTGGAATTCCAGGGAGGCAGCCTGGATGGGGGTGAAAGTAGGCACTGAAATGAGTCAGAGGACAGGCCCACGTGCAAGCCTTGTGGAGTGATCAAGAGCACAGAATCTGCAACCAGACGCCCATATGCAGATTCCATCCATCCTTGCTGGACTGGCCAACCTCTCCGGCCCCAGTTTTTGATCTCTAATATGGGACAGCAATGGCACTCCTCTCATGTGGGCACCGTCAGGCTGTGTTGAGCTACTGTGGTCTGCAGGCCTGGCTCAGGCAGTGCTGCAGCTGTGGGCTTTCGGCAAGCTGCTCAACTGCCCTGAATTTCTCTGGACTCGCTGCTAAAGGGGGGTCCATGTAACCCCAACCTCCAAAGGGGTGCTGTGGGCACCGCAGGGTAAGTGCTTTGTAAATGAAAACGCACTTAACAAACAGCGGTTGTGGTTATTGCTACAAGAGCTCATGCATCTGGCGTCAGAAACTGGCACGGCCCCTTTGGAACACAGCAGGGCACAGAAATGCTCTGACCCTGGCAGCTCCCCAGGAAAGTGATCACAAGAAGAGAATTAGGGCTGAGGATGTCTGTGGCTGCAGTAACAGTAACACACCAAACTGTGGAATGCGCCTTTTCTGACAATAGGAGGACTGTTTGGAAAAGGACAGTCCTGTCTCTCAGCCCCGTACCATCCTGCCCCACACAATGAATCCACTGTGCCCGTCCCACGGGCATGTCTTTGTGCCAGAACATCTTGCCTTCACACTAATGTCCCTGAACAAATGATGATGCTGATAATCATTTACTAAGCACATTCTCAACCGTCAGGGTTGTGCACAATGACTACGAAAGCCCATTTTGCAGATTAAAACACCAAGGCTCAGCAACATTAAGTAACTTGTCAGTTACCGCACAGCTTCATACATGGCAGCAAAAGGATTTGCATTCAGGTAGCAGTTTTGCATTCAGATTTGCTGACCCAGTTGTGTGCTGGGCTAGCTTGTACTGACTTTGGCGTATGGACTGTTTCATTTGCAAGAACTTTGTGAGCTGATTGTTAAATGAAGCTACTATTTTTTTTTTGAGTTGGAGTCTCATTCTGTCGCCCAGACTGGAGTGCAGTGGCTGCTGCCGGCCACCGCAGCCTTGACGTGCTGGGCTCCGGCGATCCTTCCGCCTCAGCCTTCCAAGTAGCTGGAACTACAGGCGCGATTTATTGTAGAGATGAGGTCTCGCCAAGTTGCCCAGGCGGGTCTTGAACCCGCAGGCTCAGGCAATCCACTCACCTCAGCCTCCCAAAGCACGGA